TAAAATTCATATGTATTGAACGTAAAAATCAAAAGTCAATTAATAAAAAGTTATCCGATTTACATGAAACTTTTAAATATATGTATTTTTATCTCCTGAACAACTTTCACTTAATAAGCATGGTTAATTTACTTAATAAAATTTTTCGCAATTAGCAAAAATACTTTTACTTAATAATAAGCTACCCGCAAAATATTTGTGTAACTTTTTGGTCAAAAATAGTAGCTTATTTTCAGACATATATAGTAGCACTCTCAGATTACAATTGCAAGATTACAAATTTGAGTTTACTAAGTAACGAATGGCTCTGCCAGGACTATGATTGGCTAAGATTTTTAGAAGATTTTTTATTAAAAAAATAAAAAACAAGATTCGTACAAGTTGCAGTCCGCTAGCATAGCCATGAGGCTAAAAACAATCAGATAAGATATAATCTGTCAACAAACAATACTAAAATTGGGAAAAATCTAGCTTAAAAATTACTAGAATTAAGAATATCAAATAAAAAAAGACGATTCAGCTTGTAAGTCATATAAAGTTAAAAAACTGCAAATCTAGAAAATATAGATTCTATACCACAGTATCAAGAACCCAGAATATCATATAATGTACTATAACAGAAGTATTAGAACAGATTTTATATTTTTAACGATAGATAAATCTCTCTATCCCGCTTTATTTGTTTCCTAATTTTGGTACAGATGTGTTAGAACTATTCTATTTGCAATTTTTGTATAGACTTCTTATAGTTGATGTTTGGAAAGAAAGTAGATAATACTTAAGCTTTCTAGAATTCTACTAGTCAATATCAATATTTTCTAATATCTAAATTTTTTTGAAAAATTAGTATTAACAAAAATTTTTTTTATATTTTTATTAGAATAAATTTACAAGATATAATTTGCGATTATTTTAAAGAAGTAGAATACAAATTATAGTCTTTTAGTAATTGTCTTGGTTATTTGTCAAACAAATATACATGGATTATATCTCAACATTGTAAAGAAATTCAAGATGAATACAAAAATCAGGTTTTATTAATAAAGAACAATAATTTAATAATTAAAAGACTTCGAAATAAAGCTGCAGCTATTTATAAGAAGATAGATGAACAATTTAATTCAAAAAAGATTATAGCATTGTCAATAATAGATAAAATAAAACAATAGAGCAATAGAATAGAACAATAAAATTTAAAATAGAATAAAATTTTTATTAATAGAACAAAAAATTAACAACTAAAATATAATTAATATAGCAAAAAACAAATAGAAAAATAGAATAGAATGATATTACAGAAAGACCTTTCTAAATACACTCTCTCAGAAGTACAGTAAAAAAGTGTATTTAGAAAAGATGTACATTTATAGAGAAAAAAATATAAAGTATAATTATAAGCTGAGACTAGATTATATCGTGCATTTAAAGAGATATTATATAAAGGGTGCATTTATAGAAGGTGCACTTAGAGAGGTCTCTCTATATTTAAAATATAATATAATTTCTATCAATAGAACAAAAAAATTAACAACACTGATAAAAAAGTATTGATATTGACTGGTGACATTCTGGAAAGTGAGTATTGCTATACTCTTTCCAAACATCAACTGAAAGAAGTCTATACAAAATTTTGCAAATAGAATGGTTCTTACACATTGTAAAAAACCACGTTAACCAAATAGAAAATTTACATATTCCTGAAGTATATGAAGCCCAAAGATCGTAGCCATAAAATATCAAATACTTTCCTAAACTTAATGTTTTGTAAAAAGTTGGTGCTAATAAATATGGTGCAACCGTGGAATCAGATTTCAAGATCTGGTATAATGTAACACAATCAGAAAATTCAAAACAAATGTTTGTTTTGTCAAAAATCGCTTATTTTTCGAAAATCTGCATAAGAAACCAGCTTTAGTGCTCTAACAAAAGTTTTTCTTGAGTGATTTTGCTACATAATTACCTAATATCTAACCTTGTTATAAACACTAACCCAAATATTAACGAACTTTGAAGGTTTTTTGCTGCGTCACAAGCTGTCAGACCGCCTTGATGCAGATGATAATTATGCTATAGGTGATATGGAATAAGAGGAGTCTGACTCTAAACTAGAGTTAAGCAACAGTCCAAAACCCCAAACACAGGCTTCTTTGTCTGCACCCTAGCCTGATCCTCAAAAGTCTCAGACTATAAAAATAGATTCAATGTTAGCTAAAATTGATGCAATGTTAGCTGAAATTTGGAATAAATGCCAGCATACGTATGTGAGCGGGTCTGGAACAGTAATCTATCAGCTTGGCTAATTTTATTTTTTTGTTTAAAGATACAGCATATATTATTCATAATGCAATCAAGTGTTTTTAATATAACAGAAGTATTAGAACAGATTTTATATTTTTAACGATAGATAAATCTCTCTATCCCGCTTTATTTGTTTCCTAATTTTGGTACAGATGTGGTACATCTATTCTGTGGAGACATATTAAGCTAAAAGGAAATGAAGTAGAGGATAAATCTCGATTAGAAAAAGTTAGATATAAACCATTAATTAGTTTTCGTCCTCCTCACATACTATTTTTAAAAATCATCTTAAAATATTATACTACCACTCACTTTCAAAGAAAATCAAAGGCATTGCGTGTATGTTCCCAAATATAATTCATTTAGATTTCGAAAAAGTTGAATGTCTTACTAGTAAAACTCTAAAGCTAATAGCAGAATCATACCCAAATTTAAAATATCTCAATATATTTGTTTTGCGCTATGAAGAACTGGCTAATTATATATTTTTAGTTCGAGAAAACGGTAATAAATATCTATATACAATCGCCAATTTATGCTATAAATTGAAATATCTAAATATTTTTTATTGCTCAAAGTTTACTGAAACATTAATTTGTAATATTATTTGTTCTTGTCCAACTCGATCTTAGTTTTTGTAAAATTACTGATATAACTATTGAAGAAATTGTTAGATCATGCCTTAATTTGAACTATCTTAATCTAGAGGGTGTTATAAAATTAGCAAAGAAGCTGTAAATCAGCTTAATCCAAATATCAATGTTGAGAGTTTTGTGGGTACTATAGCATCTCCTGATATTATTAATATTTAATGATTTACTTAGTCAATATTTTAATAATCAGAATACTAGCAAAATAGTAATACAGTCAAACCCCTCTATAGTCACCTCCTCTATAGTCACAAAATCATTATAATTACAAATTTATTTTTACCAATTATTTATAACTATATAGAAAATACCTCTATATTAGTCACACCTCTTTACAATTACGGTTTTTTGTATTCTGAAAGTGTGACTATAGAGGGGTTTGACTATACTCTACTGATCTAACTAATCTGGAAAAAATATTTTTTTAATTTAAAATATAACATATTATATCAACAATAGATATAATAATAAGAGCTTTAAAATCTGAGAAATACAAGCATCTACGCAATAGGGTTGGGACACGGGGTGTGATTTTAAATCATTATATGGGCATGGGAGCGTGATGTTAATCATCACATGGAAATTACTAATTATATGTGATATTTTACTAATTATTGTCATGTAATGATTTAGGATGTTATGCTATGTCTATGTAATGATTTTCCATGTCCCCAACCCTACTACGCAGGAGGTTTTGTCAATCATTGTGGTGCAGATCTCATGATCCACAAATCAGATTTCAAGGATCAGATATAACCAGAAAACTTCAAACCAAATGTTTGTTAAAAATGCTTAACAAACCACCTTTAGTGCTTTAACAAAAAGTTTCCTTGAGCAGTTTTACTATATAATGAATCTTAAAAAATTTGGTATGTCACAGTGATCGACAAAACCTAGCACAGATTTTTTGTTTGCAAAGAATATTGCAAAAAGTTTTCTCTATATATAGTGGCTAGTGCGTCTAATGATAAATCTGCCAAAGATATTAAAGAAAAATTTGTTCGGAAATTACTTGCATTTGATATAGAAGAAGCGTTTCTTGATGCTAATAAATTACTAGCCAGTAAACAAAATAGTGATAGTACTCTACCGTTATAGACAGAAGTTCGTTTGATTGACTAATAAAATCAATTTAATTTTATATAGTTTAGAATATCATAATGAAATAAAAAAAGCTGTATAGAAGGTTTTATTAGAGCTATAGGACTTTATAGTTACAAATAATCTCTAATTTTTTTTTTTTTTTTTTTTTTTTTTTTTAACGTCTACCCTCTTGGGAGCTAGATTTTTATTCAAGTATATATAGCACAGGGTTCTCTAGTGATCCCCTACATTAGAGAGTACATACTAGCCACACGTA